CGGAACATAAATACGATTTCTTCGAATAGAATGGATGTGATTTTCCAATATTATTATGCGTTCAAACTTTTAAGGTATTTCGTCTGAAATAAGTATATGTATATTGCATTTCTGTAGAACAATGATTCGCACCCATTTTGAAATTGCCACCTACTATACTGTAAAGCTTCTAGGACATTCACTATAGAACCGGATCATTGTTGCCGCCAGGGAGTGAAGAGAAAAAAATTTATTTCGCTTTGCAAATAACCGTGCTATGAAATGCCGCACAACTGGAGAATTTCAAGAACGGATATAACACTTTCCTTAGGTTATTTAAAGCGGCAAATGATCACCAAACCTTAATCTTAGCAGACAAATGTGCCAATGAAAATCGTAAACGTGAATTGTTGGTGAAAATGTTGGACCGAAAAGTTTTAATAAAATATATAAAAATTTTGGGCGGGACGAAGTTCGCCGGGTCTGCTAGTTTAACAATAAAACGAACCTGAAAGATTTATGTACATCAATCAGAGTTGGGCATTATTCGAATAAATTGTTATTTAGATAATTATTCGAATAAAATTTTATCCGTAATATAATTATTCGGAGATAACTTATTCACGAATAAATTATTCGTGAATAAATTTCTTGCGAATAATTTATTCGTTATTTTATTCGTTATTTTAAATAATGAATAAAAACTCATTTTTAACACATTGAGCCACCTTTTACTTTTATTTCTATTGTCAAGGATTGTAAGTTAGCTGAATTTTGTTTACTATTTTATCAAGAATACTAGCCCATTCCCTATGGTTTCGCGGCCCCTGATAAGATTTTTTGCGTTGGCCAATGCAAGAATAGCGTTGAAAACCAAATATGGGTAAAATAAAAATTCTCACACATATTTCTGCCAAAAAATAGCGCTCTGATGCTTTATGCAAGCAAAAATTCCTTTCAATGTCATGAGCTTTACCTCCACTTGTGAGATCTTTTCTAAGCGTGCGTAATCTTCTTCTATGATCTTGCAACTACAACATTGGTCCGATGCGTCAACCTCTAGTCTTATGTCATGTAGGCCAACAAAAGTCCTTATAAGGATGCTGAAGAGCACAGATGTGCGTCCTCGATGTAAAATTTGGCCATTGATATAGGAATTGGAAGGATGTGGTCGAAACTTTCCTTGCTGATTCGCCACTTTTAAAATATCCAAGAGCTGGTTTCCTTGAGTCTTACTGCTGCAGCAATGGCCGCCCGAGCAATTTCATCAAGCGGAGGTAGATGCAAGGTCGCATTTAGGGTATATGACGACGTGGGACATCGTAAATTCGTATAATATAAACATAAAAAACAAAGGAGTCCAGACATATGGGGTTTCTAGAGATTTCGACTGCAGCACCATTATGAATTGCAACCTGATTGTACAATAAGTAGGGATTTTCTAAATAACTCAACTGTAGCGCCACCTAGCGGGTCCATTTTTCGCATAAGTATTTTTCATCATCAGCAGGAAGAACACATTTGAACGAAATCAGTTCATAAATACGGCTTTTATAAATAACTCGGCTCCATCGCCACAA